AGAAGAAGAAGAAGAAGAAGAAGAAGAAGAAGAAGAAGAAGAAGAAGAAGAAGAAGAAGAAGAAGAAAAAGAAGAAGAAGAAGAAGAAAAAGAACTTGTATGATACCTTTGAAGAAATACAGCAATAAACTTCTATAAGATTGATGCTACGGAATACTACAACGTTTTACCGTAACCACCGCTTTTGAGGTATAATATAAAAGAATGTGAAAATTGCATACTAAGACTTGCTGACAATCTTGATAAAGGGAAAGGCCAGATATGTTGCTGTATAATATTGCCTCTGATTGCAACCTGGTTTACTGCGTAAGTACGAGGTAGAAAAAAAAAGGAAAGAAAAGATTATTTTTGTGTTGGAGGGTAATCCAAAGAGATAGGCTACGTTCTTTTCTTCATTTCACCCACCTATGCTATTCTTTTACAGAAAATTGCTACTTTTTAGCATTGGAAAAAATAAGCCCTGCAAAAAAAGAATTGCTAAAAAAGCAAGACGAGTTTGCAGTTGTAGTTTTTTAATATGCGAGTGCAAAATTGCTGTGTGTGGGAGTAACATTCGGATATAGAGACCAAAAAAAAAAACTGACGGTCGTTTGATAGCGTGAAGCCTCAGATTAAGCCCAGTGATTTCCTGGCCAGGCTCTCTGTGTTAACACAGGAAACGAGACCTCGGAGCAAGAGGCAATTACTGGTCGCCGACTCACCCGGGTCCGATCCGACCCACGACACTGCGCAAATAAGCCTGGCTGGGAACATTGAGACTAAGCTATTACCGTCTGCCTTCCTCCATTATCACGCCATTGATGTGCGCTCGTGTCCCAGAGCCAATCAGGCAACTACTTCCGGTATGTAATTAACATAATCACGTGATGCTCGGGTAGCAGACGAGGATTTGAAACTTGAAAGTTACGTATTTCTAAGAGATACTGTATTGGTACTGTTGCTGCTTATAATACCTCAGTCAGTGTCTTTACTTGTACATGAAAAGGGATTTTAAAGAAAGTGATTTCGTGAGCTCTTCTGATGTGAGGATAAATTTACGACGAGGAATAAATACAAGAACGAGGCGACTTCTCTGTATAGAGAAAAGCGATCTTCTTCTCACAAAACTGCTAACTACTGGAGTCTACCAATGCTACCTCGTAAGTAGACTGTGCATTATGCTACTAACTTTACATCTGTTCCACATAAAGGTGTAGTTACTTTACTTACGCAAATCTGTTCTGTTGAGAGAAATTAATATTGTAATGTTAGCGGGGAATTTGCAGGTATTTGGTGTGGTTTGCTCCTACTCTCCCATTTAACTTTTATCGTCCTAATCTCTCTTTCTTTTTTTTGTGTTTGTTACTTTCTTGTAACACCTCTAACATCTTCAGTTCTTTTATGACCTTATTGTGTTCCAAGTGTAGTACATCTCAAACTAAAACTAAACACACATACACACACAGCCACCAACACACCCACACACCCACTCACACCCACTCACACAGACACACACACACACACA